CACAGCAACTGTCCGCGATGCGGCCTCGCAGACGAAGACACTCTCCACGTGTTACTCTGTGACTCCACCACTGCTACAGTGGAATGGAAGAAGCAAATGACGGAGCTGAACAAGTGGATGAAGAAGCGGCACACCCACCCCAGACTCCGAACACAGATTCTCCTCCACCTCAACCGGTGGCACCAAGGAGACACCACTGCCCCCAACACCACCCGATTGCCAACCTCCCTCCGCCAAGCCATCGCCGACCAAACAAACCTTGGCTGGTGGATTTTGTTACTTGGCAGGGTCTCCCAATCCTTCCAACACATCCAAACACACCACCTGCAACGACTCAAGAAGAATGGAGATGGACTGGCTTGGACCAGCGCCTTCATCAAACAGATCTGGAGCCTACACTTCAACCTTTGGACCAACCGAAATGAATCCGTCCATGGCACTACCCTAACTCCCACCCAACTATTCCAACTGGACACTCTACGCGAACGGGTTCGACAACAGTACACCCAAGGCACCATAGGCCTACTCCCCGTCGACCACTGGAGAGTCCACCCGGACACCAAAACCCACACCCTCACATTCACTATCGACAAGACAAAACGATGGCTTGAATCTACCACCCTGGCCCGAACCGAGTTCCAGAAGCAACTTGCTCCAGCGAATCGACAGCTCCAAAGGCAACAGCAACTGATGATCACACATTTTAGTCTTAATCCGGATTAGGCCACTGCGCCCCCGGTCACTCCACAAGGAGGCACTCACTGTGATAGTGGAGAAACAAGGACCTGTATGCACCAGAAGCAAGCCAGTCAGTCCGTGATCTTCTCTAGTACTACCTGTCCACCACCTCAGCAATTCCAGTCAAGCTTGTTCAGGGAGCAGGACCCTGCTCTGTTCAGATGTGACAGCTACATCAACCATCATGGAGGCCCTGGCCCATCTGACAAGGTATGATATTTTGCTTTCCTCTTTCGTCTAATGACCAAAAATTACATTGCCTTTTTTTGACATGTGGGTGACCTTGGAAGAGATCAATATTGGCATCAAAGCTATCCAAGATTCAGTGCTGACCCTTTCCAGTCGCTTGTCCACTGCAGAAAAGCAGATTGAATTCTTGCACAGTGACCAGAAGGGGACCAGAGGACGAGTGAATACACTGGAAACAGACAAAGGGACAGACAGTTAGGCGCAAACACAGCAGCTCTTACAAGAAGCTACCGCCAAAGCTTTAAAGAAACTTCAAAAGGTGTCCAAGGCCACTGTGAGTTAAGGGAACATATTCTTGACTAATGCAGTGGCCTGGATTCACTAACTTCACCTTGTCGTCTTTTTTAGAGTGCAAAAGATGGGTCTTCTGCTACTTCAGACAAAAGTGTGAGTGCTCATGTATGTTCTCGACCTTGACCGACCGTCTCTGCTAGCTTGGATTCCGGCAGACGAGAGTCAACAGACTCAGGCTCCTTGCTACCCTGGAATTTGGCAGACTCGATGGTAGATTCAATTTGGGCAGACAACTACCTTCCTTAGTAGGAGCTACCAACACACAAAGTCGCGAATGCTCTTTGCTGGCCTAGATTTTGGCAGACCACATCCTTCCTCGGTAGGAGCTACCGACACCAGGTCAATGGATGCCTTCGTGGATCCATGCTGGCCTCCATTTTGGCAAACTTGCGAAACTTTCGAGTGGGAGCAGGAGTCAACGGATCCGTGCTAGCCTCCTGTTTGGCAGACTTGCGAAAATTTCGAGTGGGATTCAATATTCCAGTCAACTGATCCATGCTAGCCTCCTTTTTGGCACTTGCGAAGTCTTCGTCCGTAGGAGCTACCAGAACACCAAGTCAACGGATACAAGGCTCTCTGCTAGCTTGGATTTTGGCAGACCACAACCCTCTCTCGGTAGGAGCTACCAACGCACGGCCGAAGGCTCTCTACTAGCTTGGATTCTGGCAGAATGTGATAAGGCATTCGTGTGCGTGAAAGAGTGCTTCGCATCCTGCATCACAGAGTTTGCCTATAGATAAAAGGGATGTGGGGCCAAGTGCTTGAAAGAGATGAGCTCTTGTGGCTGTGGACGGTAGGTTCGTTAAGTCGAGCTGACAGGTGTGTGGAGAGGATTGTCGAGTTATCTGGAAGTGTGACTCGAATTGGGGTTTTTGTTGGTTGGACGTTGACAATATGTTCATTATAAATGGCAATGAAATCCGTGGACAAAAAGTGTCCTGTGCTGCCTGTGTCCGCGACTAGAGGTGTCGGCGCTGGCTGTGGTTGATGTGAGTCGGTGTCTATTGGTGTTGTCGGGGGACCGTTCATGGGTATTTCGTTTGTTAATGCCTCATCGTCTATAGTTTGTTTTTTAAACGCTACTTTAGCTTTTCGTGTGGCTTTTGTTGATACTGGTTTGAATGGTTCCTGTCTTTCTCATAAGGTGGCTGCTGGTTTTCATTGCCTTCTCGTGTCTGGCACTGAGGGTGGCTGTACACTGCCTTTTCTCCTGGGCGACGACGGATGACACAGCATCCTCCGAGCATGTTGCTTTGGTTAGCATTATTGCAATGGCCGGGGAGTTTTTTCCGAGCACGTGGAATTGGTGTGTTGGCTGTTGGGGCCCAATCCATGGGACCAGCAGTAGTACATGGGAGCGCCTGTGCCGGTGTCGGTGGCTTTTGCTGCCGTGTCGTGCGTTTTGTTGTTGTTGTTGGGAGTTTCGGCTGCTTTGTTAGCAAATCCCATTTCCTTGGTAGAGAGGATGTGACGGCATTCTTTGTCGGCCACAGTAAAGTGTTCCTCAAAGTTGGCCATGGTTTCTTGTTCCATGAGTGTCTGCTTCCTCCAATCACGTAGTGCGTGGTCGAATACTCCACTGTTGACAAGTGTCTTGACTGCGGCAGTACGGCTAGCTTGTCGGTGATTGGGTCGTGATCGGCTGCAAATTTCTGTGCATCCTTGACTTGGTTGTAGAGATCCTCAATTGGTTGGGTTGGGTTCCATGCAGCTTTCATGCGGTCCGTGTTGTCTTCCAAGTCGTCTGGAGTGATTACTCCGTACATGTTGTCCAGGTGAGTAAGAAGGGCCAGGACGGAGACTTGGGCATAGCCGTACATTTCATGCTTCAAAGTCTTGGTGAAGGTGTCTGGGACTGCTTCTAGGAGTTGCTTTTGAAGTGCTGTTTGGGTGGCTCGGTATGTGAGGAATCTAGTCTCACTGGATGCAAACAAGCGGATGGTTTCGGCAATTTGGGCTGCAGTGGCATTGGGTCCATGGACTGGGAAGGCTCCCGGGTGGGCTGGCATGACCCAAGGGATGGTGTGAGGCAATGTATTGAAGATGGCTTCAGGGACTACCAATGCGAGGTGTCTATAATGGCCTCCCCCAAGGGTTGAGGTGATGGCCATGGCATTGGCATTGATTTTCTGATGGATAATTTTAAGGGTGTTGTACGTGGGCTTCTCCTCGGGGGCGATGGCCGTGAGTGGAGTGTAGTGGCGGTGAAGTGGTCACTGGGGATGAAGGATGACATCTTGGTTTGACGGCAGCTTGGAGTGGTTGGCTATTGCTGTTGCTCTTGCTTGTTGAGAGAGTTCGTCTGTTTGTTATAGGATTGTTAATAACTGTTGATCCAGGCAGGGGCCTAGTGAAGAAGTTGTTAATAAAGATTTGTTAGTAACAATTATGAGCAAGTTCTAGCTAGTTGTCCCCAGTACTGGAGCACACAGGCCCAGCTGGGGAGGGCTAACTCTCAACAGCTCTTAACGGTCAGTAGGTCCTGCTTGCGTTAATTAAGCCAGCAGGTTGTGCATGCATGTATGAATGCTGACATCATGAGAGTGATTGGGATCTGGCACAAGACCTAAAGACTTAAGGGTCCTTGTGGCAGATCAACAGAACTGACTGCGTTCGTGTGTAGAGGGATGTTATATATGTGGTTGAAGTTTGATGGTGATTAAGGTATCCATTCATGCTTTGCTTTTTCAAACCATTATGGAGCTTAGAAAATAACTATCAGTCGTGTCTTGTGGCATGCAGGCGGCGGCCTAAGTAACCATGAAACAAACAATGAACCTTTTCTCTCTATAGAGCTGCGCATGTACGATACTCTGTAGATTCAAAAACCTCTCCTCGGCTCTGTTGCGTGCCTCTACATGCAGAAAACTCTGTACGGAGACACTACAGAGTTCACGGAATTTCTCTCTAGCATTTTGTGTTTCTAAAACGTGTTCCAACAGATTCCGCCCGGATTGTAGTTGGCAGGTAGCAGTGGAATGGAAAAGGGCCCGAAATCACGCTTTACATGGAATTCCAATATATATCGGTGTTTTGTTTTTATATTTGTGTTTCGACTTTATATTATATTTGTGATTTGACCTCCCCTATCTGGTTTACTTTGAATGCATAGAACTAAACCTAGATAGAGATAAAACACAAAGACTTGTACTCCGTAAAGTTAACGCTTCAGAGTTGAGTCTGTGCAACCATAGTCGTTGGGTATGTGCATATAGGCGTCAGTATCCATTGGCCCCCGAAAAGCTCTAGCTAGCTAAGCTTCTACCTGCAGAAATTGGATCGAATTGAATCAAATATGGGTTCTGTGAGTTGATTCCATCCATCCCATATCAGTCTCAACAGCCACATTGGCTTGCTTGAGAGGAGCCCCACTTTGACAAAGCTTTTCCATCTCGAGCATACTAGTAGAAAATTGTTTCTTTTGATTGATTGACTTTAAATTGAGTCAGTCATAATGCCAATACAACGTTTGGCAAAGATGGCTTCATTGAAAGTCTATGCAGGAACACAATGTCATCTACCTAGGGTGAGACTGGTTGGGTGAGCACTGAATGAGAGCGAAGGATACATTTTGTTAAGTGTCTCATGGGTACCACTCTAACTGTGTAGTAAGCTCTGAAACATTTTTCTTCAAAAAGAAAGAAGGTTTAAAGGGGGGTTTAATATTGATTTGCACAATTAAGCTATCAGTGTGGTGCCATAGGTTAAACTCATTCATCATGGCACAGTTAACATTGCCTGCTAATCAACGTCGTCAAACAAAAATCCAACGAGGCAACATTTCAAATGGGACCCTCCTTATGCTTTGTTCGGCAGTAGGATGCCTTTGTCTACTACAAAATGTGCTTCTTGCCTTGACTCAAGGAGGACATGTGAATGAAGAGTACAGCAGCAGCACGAGGAGGGGCAGTCACAGCAATGCCAATGACCTTTTGCCCAAAGTCACTTCCAGCTTGCCATCATTTGACTTTATCCTGGCAAATATGGGCAAAAATCCGGCATTGCAACAGCAAGACCAAAAGAGCTTGACTTGTGAATTCCGTGCATATGCCCCTACTCAGTATTACAACATGAATACTACCAACCCTCCTTCCTTTTTGAAAGATACAAACTATGTCTTTGGAAAATGGCCTGTCATGTTGTTGCACTCTGCTGAATATGAACATGCCAAAATGTGTATTGATAAAACGGAATGGTCATCAAAGGATCAACCTACATATATTCAGTACTCGGATGGAACCAATCCAAGTGTCTTGTCCATTGCAAGGCTCAAACAGGAGGCACCTCTGGTGGCCGCAAATATCTTGTACCATCATCCAAGCACATCTTTCCTGGCCGCAGTCGCTAACAAGAGGTTTCCGCAGTGTGTCTATAACGGGACTCCTCAGTTAGAAGGCTTTGACAACCTACGAACACTCCTCCTTTTGCTCGATGATCAAATGCAAACATTGGCTCAGGCCACCATCCGTGTTCTCGTTGACCATACATGGGGGCTAAAAGAGTGGGTATTGCATGAGGTCAGTACGGAATCTGATCCGCCACTTGAACAGATCATTACCATTCTTGATGACCCCAGACTCTTTGTCTATCAAGGACAGGTGCACACCAGCTTCATCAGTCATGATTGGGGATGGACTGATCAGTACTTCAGCCCTGTCCATATTGATTTCGATCACCCTCGTCATTTTCATCAAAATGACGACAGCCCACACAGCAAGTTTTGGGCTACTCTCCGGGCTTCAGAGACTGTCACATTGGGAAAAGGACGCAACCAGGCCATCTTGTATGACCCAGATGTTCCTTATGCTCCAAAAAAAGCCAACCAATTTCCAAATTTGTTTGCTGTGTCCTGGGTGGACCCAGTTACAGTGCTCCCTGTTGTTGACACCCATCCAACTGATTATGAAAAACAACAACGAAGACGGCTCAGGGAAAACAACAAGAAGGAAAAGGGTTTAACAGCAACATACAGCACAGTGGGAACCACACAAGCACATGGCACTAATGGCATGATGATCCGCTTGCCTTCGATCCAGGAGGGGCAACCCTCAGAGTATTTGGGTGTGGCACATTTTCATCGTCCCAAAAACTACAATGTCAGCATCTATGCTCAGTTTGGTCATCACTATACACATTGCTTCTACACCATACAGCGAAAATCTATGACCAGTACTGACTTTCAATTGACAGCCTTGTCTGCTGAGTTTGTCTTGCCATCAGTTGACAGTAGCGGCAAGGCCCCAAATGAAGATGGATGGACAATGGATGCTCATATCATTCAATTTGTTTCGTCACTTGAATTTCTTGCTGATACCAATGAATTGGTCATTGCCTATGGAATCAATGACTGTGAAGCTTCTATTGCTGCCATTACCTTGCAACATGTCCGAGACATGTTGATTCCAGTGGAAGCTGGCCAGGAAATTGGAGACTTTTTGCACCCATTGGAGTCTTTCCCAAATAGTCAAAAATTCAAGCATCTATCCAGTCTAACGCCTTCAAAGGAGAGAGTGCTTGGTGGGGTGGACTAGTGGCTTCCAATCCTGTTTGGAATGATATTGTCACCACTAATACCAAGGTGGTTACATTTGAAGGCACCAAGGAGATAACAAAATTGGCTCGAAAGATCTTTGACGTAGAAGCATGTCAAGCAATGGTGGGATCCACAAATGTGGCACAAGCGGTACAAGAAGCAACTTTTTCGGATCCGTCACGAAATGTCTTTGTCAACATTACGTTCGATTGTAAACATCTGTTTAAAAACAGTGAATTTGGGACAGGCAATTTTGTCTTTTTGTTCTACGCCCTCGGCTTAGCCGCGAGGACTATGGGTAATGTCTTGATTCAATGCAATGATGCACTTGATCAGGCCAAGCAATTCTTTCTTCCCGTGGGTATATCTGCAGACATGCATATTGTGGTTTCAGAGTTTTGCTCTTACCCACTCACTCACTAACAACCTGTCTGTTTGGGCTTCCATTACGATAGGTGACGGGAATTTATCCTCATACCATACACACATTGCCTCTGAGCTCACGCAGTCCACCCAGGCTCGAGTAAGTGTGTGGGATGTACACGAAGCTTCCTGTTGGACACAAGGCTCCAGAAATGCAACATGAATTCCGTAAAATGGCCACTGCCTTGCTTGGAATTCCTTACCCTGGTCACCCCGCCGAAGCTTGGGCAAAGAAGTACTTGTGGGCAACCAGTCATACCTACATGGGGCGAGACAGTGTCATGCAAATGCCCAACCCACAGAAGGGAGAAAATCCGCTTTATCCAAATGTGGAGTTATATGATGCCATATTGCACTTTCGTTGTGGTTACTACATGGCAACAGATAGTGAATCAGTGGGATTTATGAAGTTCCATAGCTTTTCTCGACCTTTGCATGCCAGTGTCAAGTCGATTGGCATTGCAACCAACCCATTTGGGTCAACCTCACAGTCAAGTATCCTTGATAGTGACTCTGTGGCAGTCATCCGGTGCAAGAAGGTCATCTTTGGGTTTGTGGATCACCTGAAATCAAATTCCCCAAAGCCAGAATTACAATTCACAATGATGCCAATGATTCCTTGGCTCTGACGTTGGCTCGAATGGTCATGGCAAAGCAGTTGGTTGTTGGGGTAACAATTTTTCTCTGTTCCCAGCGGTTGCCAGCTTTGGACACAGCTACGTTAAAAAGCCGGACCATGAACTGGCGGCCAATACGTGGATGATGGGAGATGAAGAAACACCTTCTGTGGAGGAAATGTTCCCAAATTTACACATGGTTGATGAACCCAACATATTGTCGTTGGTGGTCCAAAAACTATGGGAGAAGGATGATGGAGACACTGTGTTGAAATGGTTCCAACAATATGATATGGATGTCCCCGCTGTGGAATAACAAGTTGTACGCAGAGTAGCTCTAAAATACAATTCTGAAATACTCATTTGGAACCACCAGCCAAGTACCGGTAGGGTCAAAGCTAACTACAAAGAAGAAGGTAAATTATTGGGTTAGAAAAGTACCAGTATTACTAAGGGTGACTCTATCCCAAACCAAGCCTCACAATATACATTAGTCAAGATTCATCTTGCTTGCTGCTTGATTGAGCCTGTATGGAAGTGGGTTGGGTACCCTGGCCCTGATCAGCCTGGCTACTCATCCCATGTCCAAAACTTTTTTTCTTCATCCGTCTCCAAGCGCGCGACCCAGCTCCATCTTGTCCACCAAGTCTTCCTCCTTGATTGAGCCTGAGTACTCACGCGGTTGGTTCATCTGGTCTTGATCAGCCTGAACAACCATCCAACGGGATACTCAGGAAATTTTCTCTTTGCGCCCCGCCTGTTCCCTCGCTCTTTTCCTCTCGCTCTTTCTCGCTCAACGTCCGCCATGGGCTCCTCCTCATTCCTGCACCGCATCCCTTTTCTCACGGGGGGGGGGGGGTTGTAGTCTTGGTTGGTTGGTTCTAATACAGTCTGAGTTACCGCTCAGGGCCTCTGTCGTTGCGTTAATAGGTGTCCACCAGTCGCTTTTTGTTTACTAGCGTTTATATCGTTACTATCTGAATATGACTGAAGACTCCAAGTCCTTCAAGGGGGACGGAAATGAGACAGACGACTCGGCCGCGATGCTGCAGAGTCTGCTTCATGGGAGTCTTGACCTCTCGCCAGAGAAAGGCACCCGTACGCCTTCAGCGAAGAGCAAAGCGAGTGTCGGTTCTCCAACCGATACGAATATCGAGGGAACTCGTTCCAATGTTGGTGAGGGCGCAAACCCAACCGTCGCCAGTGGCATTTCTGGCGATGGCGAGGAAGCAGGTAAGACTGGTGTCCAAGCTCGAGTTGTTGTCGTTCGTCCGGATATGTTGAATCTGTACTGTTGCGGCGTCATCGGGTCCCCTGCCGGTCAGAAGTTCTGTTTCAAGGAAGATTGCACCAACTAAAAGGAAATCTGAAATCTGATGAAAAGGTAATTTGTCTTTTGTTGTTGTTTATTATTTATTGTTGTGCCAATTTCCTGAAATTGTGAGCTTGGAAATGAAGGACGTGTTGTGTGATTTCTGAAACTTGGACCTTGCAAGTCTTTGGGGTGAAACCTGGCATTGCTCCTTCTATTTGGGGAAGACGGTAGTGTTGTCACAGGATCCTCAGTCATTTGGGGATTCCATCAGTAGATATGACAGTCACTTTGGGGTGGCAGTCGCAAAGAACAATGGTGTCAAAGAACATTGGTGTCAAGGAACAAAAGTGTCAGAGAACATGTCTTTCTACGGTTTCTACAGCGATGTGAGTGACCCTTATGCCCCTGGCTACTCCGAACGTTGGTGGCACCGCGTCTACTCTGGGCCCCAAGTCCAAGGTAGCTACACCTGTGCCCGTCCTCCCACACACCACGATGGAGCTGGCAACAGCAACCTAGCCTACTGCCACCGGCATCGAGACACACAGCCACCAGTGTCACCACCAGATGAATACAAATCCGTCTTTGACATTCTTGAGAAGACACCGGCACCACCTGTGTCAACAGTGTCCCCACCAGACGCATACACATCCCCCTTCGACATCCTTGAGAAGAGGCCGGCACCCATGGCCTACGGTAGGACCAACCACCAGCTGGGTGATGGGGAGATCAGAGCTGTCTCCTGACAGCTCCAGTTGTCACCCAGATCCCATTTATACCCCAGCCATGGAAGACATGCTGATCCACTTTCAACAGCAACAGGTCACCGGTGCCCAGCAACTCGACCTCATGAGAGCTGACCACGAAACCTTCAAACGAAAGATGGAAGCTCAGTTCATCGCCCTGAAGGACCAACTGACAGCTCAACTGGACGCCTTGGTCGTGGTAGCTGCTAGGCCACCTGTCACAGCACCTACACCTGCTTTGACACCATCAGTTCATGGGGAGACCAATGCCACTCCACTGTCAGCCATGGGCAGTGATGATGGCGTCCACAAGCCGACTGGTGACAGCGCTATTGGTACCCAACGGCTCCACAGCCCAAAGAAGCAGCAGCGCCACAGGGCTACTCGTTCCAAGCAAGATGCCACAACTATCCAGCAACGATTGACTGATGCCCTCTTGGCCACCAACCAGCTGCCCATCAATGTAGCCACGGCTCCATCTCCTAAGCTAGCTTGTGGGGAGTTGCATGTCACACGACCCCTGCGTGTCCCAGCTACGAGCCACCAGCTGCCCAGTGCCACACCCTTGAATGCCCTCGCTGGTGCCCATCCATCGTTGGATGATGGGGAGATTATCGCGCTTGCCAGCCCTAGGAGTCATCCAACCTCTGGGGAGATCATGATGGCAAAACCTCCAGCCAGTAAGCAACCAGCTTCCAGAGCTGGTGCCAACAACATTCCAGTTGCACAACCAAATAGACCAAGTGTGGCTCCCACTCAGTCAGCTCTACAACCAAGAGCACATGAGCAGACTCACACAGTGGTGACCCCCAAGCAACCTGCTCCAAGGCACAGAGCACACAAGGGTCCCACCACAACCAACATAGGCAGGAGATCTAGTGGTTCATCACCCACAGTGACACCCAAGGTCCCCAGCCTGGTTCCCACAGCACCACCAACCTATGGCACAGCCAATGCCACAAGACTTACCCAATGAGGTGCCGTTGTCTTTGGATAGGACCAGCCTTGGTCCAACCATCACCAGTCCATTTGCCAGGAGGCCCACCAAGCAGATACCCTCTGCTCTTGGTGGAATCCATGGGGAGCAACCACAGCAAGCACCTTTGACCAAGGCAGCTTTGGTGTCTCCTACCCAGGAGCTGACTGACATGGTGTCGCCTTCCCAGAAGCTGACCGCCACCATGCTTTCTACCCCAAAGCTGGCTGCCATGGCATTAGTGCATGGCAATGGACCAATCCCGGTGACGCCCCTGGATTTTCGGACGGGCAACTAGACTACGTCCCTGTCTGGTACAGCCCATCCATCCCATCCGTCAAGGGACATGATTGCGGGGCAAGAAGGCCGCTCCACTGAGAGCTTGCCACCGCTGAATTCGGCCTGTGGCAAAGCCACGAATATTTGTCTACATATGAAGAAAACAAACAACAGCTATGATAGCAACCAGCACCGCCGACACCTACCGAGTCTGGCCATGCTGATGAAGCACGCAATCCATTTGCGCCTACCTTTGGTCCAGCAACCGACCAACCATGCAAGTCCCTCCACTTGTGAGATCTCCAATCTCACATTGTGTTCCACTAGCAGTCGATGCTGAGTGGCCCATGGATGTTCCATTCATGGGGAGAGTTTGTAGATAGTTAGTTAGTAACTAGTCGTATATCGTGGCATTCCCATGAGAGCGGATCCATACGCACTCGTGGGGAGCGATAAAGTCTAGGAGCGAGAGCTCTGGATCCCGTCAGAGATAGCTCCAACAGCTATGCTGGCCTACAGCTCCAGCACCCACAGCTGGCTTATCTCCAGCAAAGCAGCAAGAAAGGATCGTCCTTTCTACCATAGTTAAGAAAATAGTACGAAAGATTGAGACCGATCCTGATTAGCTTGTAGCCCCTTTGATACCGCAGCAGTTGATACCAATCCTGTTGAGGCCGGGCAGAAGCAGTAGGAGGTAGCAGATAGTACTGTTCCCAGACTGCCACTGCACGATTGAATAACGAAGGCTCCCAGCTCCTGAGGAGAGCTGGCCCAAAGGGTCCAGCAGAGAGCTCTGCTGGCCCTCCTGTCTGACTGACAGGGCCAAGTCCTTGGTTTGGTGCCTACTGGAGGTGTTGGAATACTCCTGAGGCACGACAAGGCTCCCTGAACTGCCTGACTACCGCTGTCCCTGAGGAAGGGTTTCAGCGAGATCCAGTCCACTACTTGGGTATTGGAACTGATCCTTCCAGAAACTTATTGTCCACCAACCCACCAACCACTCACCATGACTTCCCCATGTCTACCCACTCCCTCACTCAAACCCAAGGTCCTTCCAGACATCCCCCCACTACCACACTTCACCCAACCAACCACATCCATCATCCTCCGCAGATTACCCAACACCAACCCCCAGATGATCAGCCAACAGCTCCAAGAGCATGCAGCCATCTTGAGGATCACACCCTTCCGCATCACACCCTACCCTATCAGGGAGGATGCCTTTGTTCTCACCCTTGAACAGAGGCACGCCTCTATCCTACATCACACCATCAACCATGCTGCCCCCCAACTCCTCCAACAACACTCCAACACCACCAGGATCTCCCCTCCTGCCCCTGGCACCAGCCCACTCCCAGTGCCCCCTTATCCTCCTTCCATTGACTCAACAACCCCTCGAACAGCCCACAACACTCCAGCAGTCACTGTGCCTCCCTCCTGGGAACCACAGACTGCCAGTGTGTCATTTGACCCCATCTTTTGCCTACTTGTTGGCCTCTATCTAACAATTTTTGCGCATTGGATGGGTTACACCCTGCTCTGGTCCAGCCTGAGGAGTACCACCTCCTACGGGCTCTGCTGGCATATTGCTTTGCTTGCCAAGGCAATTGCCACAGCTTGGGATCTGATCACCCAGACAAACTTACTGGCGAGCACTCTTTGGTCTGGCAATCTATCTGGTCCTCACGGCCCCTTTGGTAATAATGGTTTCAATACCGACAAAATCCTGTTTAAGCCCCTGTAACCCAGGTTTTGCGCTGCAGGTTCTCTATCAATGTGCTCACCACCCTACCCAGGGCATCTGTCTACTTGGTGCTGGCTCCATGTTGGGCCAGTGGATGAGGTCATGTTGATTGGGCAAACAAAGTAGATGACGACTCAGCTAGGTGGGGATCTCCCCCACCACTTGCCCACGTCAATAAAGTCACTCCGTGGCCAATAGCTTGTTAAGCTAAATGAGTAATTTAACCCCTGGAGAAGTATTGTAGTAGCTGGAACTAGGAAGTTCCTGGCCACAATGATACTTTGAGTTGGGGCTGGAAGCCCTTGGAAGTTGGTACTTGTAAGGAACAAGTAATTGGATAGTAGTTGTGGAAGCTCCGGCTTGATGAGCTCCGCTGGACCTTGACATGTCACGGTCGATGATAGACGATGATGTAGAACGGCGCGTCTTTCGGTTGGTGATGCCACTGCTCTTACACTCCTGGGAGATGGGAGTGGTGACATACGCACGTGTGTGACGTGGCGTCCTAACGCTAGTTTTAAGTCTAATCTCACAATATTCCAATCGTAGTTCACTCTGAATTCAGAAGCAAGTTCGGTTGGAATTTGCACATCAAGCAAAAGAAACTTCCTGCGTACATTCTACGCAGCCGTGTACTAGGCGTTTGGCCATTGTCAAACAATTTCGAAAATTCGCTCGATTACTATTAACAACGGTAACTCAAGGGTGTAACTCAATACGAAGTTACTCCTTTTTCTTTCATTATCATTACTTGCGACTCTTACTAACACAAAGCCGCAAGTACTGTTGTTTGTTATTTCCTTTTAGGTTCATTATCTCACCATGACAACGCTTGGTCAGTCGGGCAAGAATCCGGTCATTCCCTTGGTCTTGGAGTACAATGCGAGCGATGTCGCTACTACTGAGTTGTTCCGTTCTTGGCAACATGCTGGAAACAACGTCAAGCGTAAGCATGATATGATTGTACTGGCAGACGAACAAGAACCGGAACACGTCCTTCGAGTCATCAAGGAGTTCGATCAAGTGACCGGCAACTCAGCATTGAATTTGGATACCGGCACATTGAGGGCTAACTTCTTTGTCAAGTGTCTTCAAGGCTCTGCTCGAGACAAGTGGAACGTGATTCGAGCAGCGCGTCCTGGTGCAGCGGTTGCTGACTTCGATGCCTGCGTGACGTCGTTCATCGCTAAGTTTGTTGAAGACACGGATCTCGCTGATCAGACGCGATATTTGCAGACTGCGACCAAGCCTTTCAAACTCGATTGCAAGACCCTGTGGTCTCGATTGGAGTACATCAATACCTTGATGGCGAAGTTTCCTGGTGCAAACAATGCGAACCCTTTTGATGCTACTGCTCTCAAGATGATGTTTTACAACATGATGCTTCCCCAGTGGAAAGACAAGTTTGCCGATTCTGCTCACGACATTACGGTTATCGGCTCAGTTCAAATGGTTCGCTTCTTTGCCCGTCAAGAAAAGAATTATAACGCTCGCCAACAAGGTTCTCGTGGCTGTGGTGGTCGCGGACTTTCTCGTGGTCGTTCTGGCCGCGGATTTGGAAGAAGTGGACGCTCTTCTGGCTATCGTCGTATCTATGGACAAGACGATGGTCCTCGAGCTGGTTACTATCCGCCTTCCCAGCGTTTCCGTCGTGGAGGATGGAGTCGAGCTCCTACCTGGACGTACAATTGTAGTCCTCCCCGAGAATACCAACGTGGACAACCAGACGGACAGCAACGCAACAACACTACTCCGGTGCGCAACTTTGCCGGACGTTTCGGTCGTGGTAGCTATGCCTCATCACCTCGTGGTCGTGGACGTGGACGTGGGTACAGTCCTCGCCGCGATAATTTTGTGGCTGACGGCAATGTTCGAGAGGATGATGTGTTCCACGTCGAAGAACAATCCTCTACGGTTCCTGCGGTTGCTGCCATGCCGCCTCCTGAAGAAACAGAAGTGATGTATTATCAGGAAGAGCCCCATTACTTTGATTCCATGACAGGGGGTTACGATGACTATGAAGGGTCATATGGATACGGTGGCGATTACTGACCATCAACAAAGGTCTTTGAGAATTATGCAGCGGCGGCTGAAGGAATCAATGTGGAAAAGGACTTGGTGCCGATGGCGCTTTGCGTCCTACATAGTATACAAAATAAACCGTCTGATAGACCGTTATTAGTCCTGATGGACTCTGGTTCTAGTGGAACCTGGATTAGTGAAAAGGCGTTGCCTAAGGGAACAGTCCCTCGTATTGGCGACGTTGTGCCCACCACAACATTGGCTGGCAACGTCAAATTGAACCGTGTTGTTACCTTAGACCGGGTGTGTTTTCCAGAGTTCTACAAGTCCCGTTTCATCGATGTTGCCCATGCTCGTGTCTTTTCCGCGAGCAATGTTCGGTATGATATGATCATAGGACGCGACATCCTCCTTGAGATGGGATTGAAGATTGATTTCAAGGGACACAAGATGACATGGGACGAGGTTAGCATCGACATGAGACCTTTTCCCACGTCTTCGGTTGACAAGAAGACTCCTCCCGCTACATCGATGTTCCTTGACCTTCTTGAAGCAGATCTCGAAGATGACGATACTCTGCCTACCGTGGCTTCCACGGATTGCTGTGAAGACGACTTGGATGACGATTTGGACGACATGCTCCCCGAATCCGAAAAAGAGTCTTCATGTTTTGCAACTCGTGAAGAAGAAGAGCAGGCAGCAGACTTGGGTTACAAAACCAAGCACATCCTCGAATCTAAGTATGAAGGGGCCGATATTACCGCCGTTGTTCGGTCCTGCACTCATCTTTCTCAAGAATAACAAAATGACCTTCGTGGTGTCTTTGAGAAATATGACACCTTGTTCAGTCCTGAACTTGGTAAATACACCGGCGGACAAATTAGTTTGGAGATTGATCCTACAGTTCCGGCCCATCGAAGCCGACACTATACTGTTCCTCATCACCAACAAAACATTTTCAAGAAAGAATTGGATAGGTTGGTTCCCTTGGCGTTCTTGAAGAAGGAAGTCATTCCGAATGGATTGCTGGTACCTTCATCATTCCAAAGAAGGACGGTCGAGTCAGGTGGATCTCTGATTTCCGTGGTCTCAACAAAGTAATCAAGCGCAAGGTTTATCCAATTCCTCGCATATCTTAGCTCGCCGCAAGAACTATGCATTCCTTACCAAGTTGGATATCTCGATGCAGTATTACACCTTCGAACTTGACGATTTCAGTTCCGAATTGTGTACCATTGCTACTCCCTTTGGGCTTTACAAGTACAGACGACTACCAATGGGCGTTTCTCAATCTCCGGATATTGCTCAAGAAATCATGGAGAAATTACTCAAAGCTCTTGATGACATCGAAGTCTATATCGATGACATTGGTATTTTCAGTTCCGATTGGCGCGCTCATCTCGACAAGCTCGATCAAGTACTCAAGATCCTACAAGAGGCTGGATTCACAATCAATCCGTTGAAGTGTGAATGGGCCGTGCAAGAAACAGATTTTCTGGGACATTGGTTGACTCCCATCGGTGTTAAGCCTATGGCGAAGAAAGTGCGCGCCATTCTGGACATGAAAGCACCTACTGATATCAAACAATTGCGTTTGTTTCTCGGGTTGGTGACTTATTACCGTGATATGTGGCCTCGTCGTTCTCACACCTTGGCACCCTTGACAAAGCTGATTGGTACCAAGAAATTTGAGTGAACCGACGAGCAAGAACAGGCTTTCAAAGCCATGAAGGCTGTGGCGGCAGCTGATACTCTGCTTGCCTATCCCGATCACAACGTTCCATTCGAGATTGATACGGACGCTAGCGATTATCAGCTCGGTGGAGCTATCAAACAGAACGGACGGATTGTTGCTTACTACTCCCGCAAGCTCAATTCCGCCCAAAAGAACTATACTACCATTGAAAAGGAATTGCTCTCCATCGTTGAAATATTCAAAGAGTTTCGTTCTATGTTACTCGGAGCTCGTATCAATGTGTTTACTGATCATAAGAATCTTACTCACAAACTTTCCGCTTTTCAAACTCAACGTGTTATGAGATGGCGATTGCTGTTGGAAGAGTTTGGTCCAACCTTTCATTACAAGCCGTGCCCCCAGAACGTCCTTGGTGACGCCCTCAGCCGGGTGCCCACTTCTCGCGAAGATCGTGACAGTGCCGATTCCGATCCCCTATCCACATCTGCCGACGGATGTTATTCCATTGTGGAGGAGAATCGACGGTTGGCCGAATGTTTGATGCATCATCCAGACGACGGTATGGAAGAATCTTTCTTGGAGCATCCTACATTCGACGGCGAAGGACGGAACCCCTTCAATTTCTCGGTTCTCGCGGACTACCAAGCAGCTAGTGCAGTTTTGCAACAGACCGTGGTTGATAACCCGGAACGATTTTTCAAGAAGATGTTTGGAAACAGTGAGCTGATATGCTTTCGTCAGAATGACGAGGACAAGATTGTCCTGACAAAAGAGTTGCTTCCCAAGTTGGTCAGCTTCTATCACAAGTCCATGGCACATGTCGAAGGCATGGATCATTTAGAACAAACGATCAAGACACATTTCTATCATAGAGGTATTCGCGACGAATTGAGCAGTGCGAAGCATGTGCAAAGAACAAACGAGCACGACGTGCTTATGGAGAATCTGCTCCACGTGATGCTACGGCGATGCCCTGGCAACAAGTCCATTGTGACACAATCGGTCCGTGGAAGATTGAGTTACGACAACGGACGTTGACTTTCAACGCTATGACTATGGTGGATCCTTGCACAAACTTGATCGAAATTGTGCCTATCATGCGACGCACGTCGGACGAAGGTGCCCGAGTGGTCGAAGATACGTGGTTTGCTCGGTATCCTCGACCCAAGAAAGTGGTTACGGACAACGGTCCGGAGTTCAAACTGGAATTCATTGCGATGGTGAAAAAGAATGGTGCAGTGCATCGCTACTCGTCCCCTCGTAACCCACAAGGTAACTCGATGATTGAACGGACTCATCAGGCAATTGGTAAAGTATTGCGAACCATTGTGGTCTCGCGCGATCCCAAGAGTGTTGCTGATGGAATCAAGGTCATTTCCGAAACCTTGGCGACAGCGATGCATGCTCATCATTGTTCCGTGCAGAGTACGAACGCTTATCTCACTCCTGGTGCTCTTGCCTTCAAACGAGATATGTTTCTTGATATTCCTATTTATGCAGACATCCTGGCTGTGCAACGACATCGTCAATCCTTGGTTGACAAACGTTTGCTACGGGCCAATGCTAAACGCATTTCCTATGACTACGCGGTCGATGACCTGGTCTACAAGCGTGCGTATCTCGGTCTCAGTGATAAGTTGAAGCCTACGGCTTCTGGTCCCTACCATGTTTCTCGCGTTTATACCAATGGCAACGTAACGATTCAGCTCAGTCCTCATCAGTTCGAGCGACTGAACATTCGGCGCGTGTTTCCAAAGCATCCAGTACCTCCGGTTGCTACCGGTACGGGTTATTGAGGTTCCCCTGATTCATTTTCTAAATGTTACTGATGCTCGGCGCCTATTGTTGCCTCACAGTGGAGGAGAGTGACATACGCACGTGTGTGACGTAGCGTCCTAACGCTAGTTTTAAGTCTAATCTCACAATATTCCGATCGTAATTCAGTGGCAGGACTTGTAGTTGTCTGTAGTGTATCTTTGGTAGGCTTGATTTGTTGTACTCGTGTACTTCTGTTGGTGTGAGACTAAGGTTGGTTGCAATCTCTGTACAGTAGTTGCAGTGGAGCTGAGGTGTGCACCCTCTTGTTGTTTCTTTTGATCAGGTTGCCGCTCGTGGGTCAAACTCTGTCTGCTCTAGCCATCCTGTGGCTTTGTTCCTTGTCTTGTGAACTCTTGAGTTGCTTGTAGCTACTCGGTGCAACCTTCACTGTTGTTCTGCTGTTGTTGCAGTTGCCATTATTATTGTAGATGCAATTCAAAAATTGGTTTGGTCGATTTCATTGTAATCGGTTTGGTAGCGGTAGATACCGTTGTTGGCTGTTGTTGCCATTGATGCTGGCTGGTTGTAGCCATTAATGGTTGTGGCCATTGGTGCCGTTGATGGTTGCGGCATTGCCTATAAAGGCGGATGTTATGATGATTTTGTTTGTAGGATTGTAGGTTTTGGATTTTGGGTACCACCACACTCCTGTGCACTTGCTGTGATCAAATAGCAAGGGCATGGACTTGTAATGGTATTGTTGTTACATGCCTGGGGGCTGTTGTTGTTGCCTCAGGTTTGCCTGTTTCATAAGGGAGGAAGTGCTGTGGATTAGTTGCACAATACACATTCCAAAAATGGTAGTAGGAGGTGCTGTGGCTGGGATGCCACAATACACACTCCATGAAAGGGTAGGTGCTGAGTGTAAACTCAATATACACTCCAAAGAAAATATTCAATATAGGAGAAGCAGGCACTCCTGTGCATCCTATAGCTGATGTGCTGCTTGCACTGCTCCGGTGGCTTGCACTGGATGTGCTTTGCTTGCACTGGATGTGCTTTGCTCCATACCAGTAGCTAGCTAGCTAGCTAGCTAGTGCAGGACATGCTCCGGTACAGGACCAGTCAATCAATAGCTGGCTGGTACGGAGACTTGGCTTGGATTCGCCGTGTGAATCCTCTTGTCGAGATCTTGATCTGGCTCCGTGCCGGCGGAAAGATACCTTTCCCGTTCAGTGGCTGCTGTTGGCTGAACAGCTTGGATTGTTCTTCGCCGTTCCGTGCAGGAAAGGCTTGCAATTGGTGAGATTTCCTCACAACAACAAAAATGTCTTCTTCTGCCGAGAACAGTTGCCGACACTGTTGTTGCTACCGTATCGATAGCGACGGCCAACAGCCACGTTGGTACAGTAGCCGTAGCGACTGTACCCATCGTCGTTCTTCTTGTTCTTGTTGGTAGCAGTAGCGACTGGCTACTAGTAGTGGTAGCGACTGCCTTGTAGTAGCTGTCGCTGTTCTCCTTTTTGTTGTCACCGTAGCAACAGCTTTGGTTATTCGATTCGTTCGTTGGATGCCGATGCTGTTGCTTGCCGCCACTGTTGTTCGTCAATGGCAGTAGCAAACTCGGCACTCTTGTATTCTTGTTGACAGTAGTAGCGATCGTTCGATCGCTTAGGTCATCTTGTTCTGGTGGAATTGCAAAACTCGCAAATTCACTGTTGTTCTTGTTGACAGTTGCGACCTCCTAGTAGTAGCGGTCTTGTCGTCGTCGTGGTACAGCCGTAGCTGTCATTGACTGGCTGCTCTCTTGTTGTTGCCGCTATGGGTATCAACGTGCTTTCGATCCTGTTCTTGTTCTTGATAGTAGCGGTAGTAGCGTCAAACTCAGGTTACCGCTGTAGCGGTAGCAGCTGCAGCGGTCCAATCCGATTGCTTCAGCCATCTTCTTGTTTTTTTCTTCAATTTTGGTTGAATGCGCTGATGGATGCAACTCGCTCTGAGGTCGATTCGAGTGCTTGCACTCTTCAGGGCCTGTCAGTGACAGTATAGTAGCCCACTTCCGTGTATGACAGTCCTTCCGTAGGACCTGTCATTGTCGAGTAATCGCCCTGGCAATTTGGCTTGTTGTGCGTTGGAGTTTTCCGTCGCACCTCTGCTCTGTCGGCACCACTTCAATGGCTTGATAGTGAGGCTGTTGGAACTCCCACAGAGGCACCTCTGTGGTTCCTGTTGGATTTTGTTATCCAGTTCCTCTTCCGTGGCAACACTTGTTGCGTCGCTCGGTGGACACTCCTGGTGGCTGTTGTCTGCCGTCGTTCTTCTGCCGTGTCATTCCTATTGGCTTTGATCCGTACAGCAGTATAGCCTGCCTCTGCTCCGTACAGTAACTCAAAGTAGCCTTGGCTCCGGTTCCTCTCACCGGAAGCCTTGTTCTTGGACTCATCGGGATAGCTAGCTAGATAGCTTAGCCACAACTCCTGCACGTACTGGGTCGTGCGATTGCTGAGTCTTCTTCTTGTAGTTGGTTTTCGTATCAGCACTGGGATATTTTATCTCCAGTCATACGACGGCTGTGTTGTGCAGCGCAAAGTCTTGGTCTTCCTGTCTGCGTACGATCACACCGTGGTAGCTGCTCCGGTTCCTCTTACCGGTAGCCTCGCTCTTGGTGATCGCTCTCTCCTGTGAGCTCGTTCTTGCTCACTCCTGTGAGCTTCGTTGCTTGCTTGCGTAGCGGGCTTGGTCCTTGTGGCCGTGCTCCGGTACGGTAGCTGTTCTTGCTCCGTTTGAGTCACGTCCGTCGTGAACTTGGTTCCTTGCTCCGGAGCTCAATCCTGTGAGCTCGCTTTCGGCTCACTCCTGTGAGCGCTTCTGGGTCACTCCTGTGAGCTTGCTTCCTTGATCTACTGTTTGCTCGCTCGTGTGAGCTGGATGTTCTTGCTCCGAAGCTCACTCCTGGGAGCTTGGCCGTGATTGCTAGTAGCAGATCTCTCGTCGGTCGTATCTCAATCAGTTCTTGATGGATTTGCTTCCTTCAAACATAGAACTGGTGTAGTTAGCGATGCTCTTTCATGCGATATGCTTACTTTGTTCCGTTTCCGACTGGAAGTCGTTCGATGGCTCCTCCGGTGCTCGTTGGTGATTGATTCAATGCGCGATTTCTTCTGGTGCGGAATTTCGCCTGTTGAGCTGTTTTGGTAGCCCTTATAGTGGGGCTACACACTATCTTCCTGAACTGTTGGAGTTACCTTATAGCATGAACTCAATGGTTGATGTTGATGTTGATATCGATATCGCCATGGGCAAGATCTCGAAGATGATATTCTTCTTGGAAATAGTGTTGGTTGCTAGTAACGCTCTAGCTTAGTAAAGGTAAAATATTGTTTTACTGTTAAGCTATTTCCAAGAAGTGATCTTTCTCCATGTGTTTCTGGGATTGATTCAACTTCAAATGATATAGCGAAGGGGGTGACCATATAGATCAGTTAAACTCCCCATGTATGTAACTAGAGAATAGATATAGATATCCCCACTAAACTAGATTGGGATAAACGGATAATTTGTATTGAGGTGTCTGTAATACAACCTCCAACACACATGGTGGATTTCCTGAAGCAGCTCAACCATGAATTCCCAGAAGCCAAGCTCATGCTGTACCCCACTGCATCAGCATACTCTTTCAATTCAGCCTGGATCCATTACTACTCCCATGAGGCCGAGTTTCCTCGGGGACCCAACCAAACGAGAGCAGTCTTCAAAGACCAGTTTTACTGTCTGATTGGCAGCTCCAGCAGTGCCAGGATCTATATCGCCCACAATGAGTCCAAGGAGGAGGTGACATCCAGATTTCAACCAACCTGGAATGCCTGGAATGAATCTGCAGAGGCAACTCAAGTCACTTTCTGATTGGAAGTGGACTCCATCCAATTATCCAAGACCGCTGCCATTGCCTGGCTGAAAGGCACTGGTTTTTGGACCAACACCAAGAAGTTGAGAGATGCCATCCTTCAGGATGAGCCTTTCCAGGCACAGGAAAGCACGGACAACCAGTCTTGCCCTATTAAACTTTGGTATCAAAAGATTCAGAAAGACCCATCTGACAACAGACGATAAATTCTAGGTTGGATCCAAGGGATCACCATGGTGAGTGTGAGGACAAACTGCCTGTCTTATGTTACTGGTACATGTATGGTACGTGGAACATGCAGAGATATAGAGGAGATCCTGGCAGAGATATAGAGGATCTTGGTTGATACTGGTAAGACACAGGTCATACATATGAA